CTGGCCATTCCACACAATCAAAAGCTTTATAAATGCCTAATGTCCTTATTCATTTGTTTTCCTTGTACAAACCCACATTGATCTTTTTGAAGATATTTATGTATGAACTTGTTTATTCTTTTTACCATTATTGCTATTAATATTTTAGCATCTGGATTTATAAGGGATATAGGTCTATATGGTCCTGTGTCTGTCAAATCTTTGTCTGGTTTCAGAATCAGTATTATCAATGAATGATTCCATGATGGTGGGGTTCTTTCTCCATTTAGAATTTTGTTATATAATGCTTCCAATTTAAGTATTAAAATCTTTTTAAAATTTTTTTAAATATTCTGGTCCCAATCCATCCATTCCTGATGATTTCCCTCCTTTTAATTTATCTATCACTTCTTCTGTTTATTTTTTTCGAAACCAATTGTTACATTATTTTTTCTTCTCATCTATTTTTATTTTCCAATGTTTCTCAAATATTCCTCATTTTTTCCACTGACTTATTCCCTGCTGAATATAATTCTTTGTAATTTTCATCAAATATCTTTATCTTTTCTTTCATCATCATACATATCTTCCCTGTTTTATTATTATTGCTAAATTAAAAAAACTTCCTCCACAAATATATCAAATTTCTCTGGACCTCATCTATTTCTATTTTCTCTAATTCATTTCTTTTTATTTGCAATTCTATATAGTTATTTTTACTCCCATCTTTTATGTATGTATCCTCTAATTTTTTTAATTTCCATTTCTAATTTTATTTTTCTCTCTCTCTATCATCTCTGTACATTACATGTTTCCCCAATAGAAATCGCTCTTGCAACTGCTTTCATAGTATTGAGAAACCTCTCTATTATTGATATCCTATATATTTTGCCATTCTTTTTCAGTCTTACTCACTATATTCTTATAATTAAATATTCTGGTGTCCAACCTCCATCTTTTTGTTTCTTTGTAATTCTTTTAAACTGCAAAATCCATATTTACCAAAGCATGGTCTGTAACTTTGATCTCTTTTATTTAATACCTTTGGAACCATATTTTTTGATACAAAATAAAATCTTTTCTGGAGTAATTTTTATGGACTGAAGAATAATAATTATTTCTTTTCACCCCCTTTAATCAATCTCCATATATATTTTAATTCATTTCTATTCATTATCTTATTCAGGGTGTAATATTATTGGAGTCTATCCCTTGTTGTTGGGTCTGATTTATCTTTCCCCTTAATCATATCTATAACCATATTAAAATATCCTGCCATAATTGTATAATCTCCCTGCATATCCTCCATTTTCTTAAATACTTTTTCATAAAATTATTTTTGTTTTTCATTTGGAGCATACATAATGTTCCTTGCATTAGTATAAATCTTCCTTTTTCATCTTTCTTAACCTTTTACACATTAAAACCACATCTTTTAGATATTATGGTTGCTACCCCTCTTGCTTTTGAAGTATCATATGCTTTTTCATAAGTAGCAACTCAATTCAGTTTAAGTTCATTTGTCCCTTGTTTCGCTTGATGTGTTTCCTATAGGGAAAAAAATCTGCTTTCTCTTTCTTCAACAATGGACGTTATCACACGGGAGCCAGTTTTGTGGTTAAAGAGATAATAAAGTGGAAATAAAGCATCTCAAAAATAAAGCGAAAATAGTGCTAAATTGCACAAAAGCTTTTCACATGTAATTAGAATAAAAACAGAATTAAGTGAAAAGCAAAAAAAAGACATTTTTCACTTTCATACACAAGTGAAAAAAACCCATAAATGTACTAGAAATGGGTGTGTTTTGTGACCAGATTCCTCCTTTTCCAGGTCGAGTCCTGTATTTCATTCCCTTCTCCCCTCTCCAGGATGAAATGTCAAACTGTCCTCCATCCAGTAAGAAGCATGATTTCTGGGGGACATTTTGGAAATTCCTCCTGGACAGAAGGTTGAAATGCAGCACTTATCCTCGAAAAAGGAGGACACCTAGTCTCCCTGGTCGCCACTCACATTGCTTAATAGCACTCAAAATGGAGGACATTTGCAGACTAATTTCAAACCTTAATTTCTCCCTGTCTATTCTATACCAGTGTTATCATTGTAACAATTTTAAAGACTATTGTAACTATTACAGAACCACCTATTTATTGTATCTCTTCCCCACTCTTTTACTATTATTCCTGAGCGGCATCCTCTTTAATACCACTCTGTCCTGTTGTCGCCCACAAACCAAGTCTCTGTCACTTGAATTACTAGCTTCCGCCAGGAGAGAAAAAGTTTTTTTGTTTTATTTTGTTTTTTAAGGTTGTACATTTCCTCAGGCCTTAAGGATGTTACCTCGATGCCTCAACTTAGAAACCACTTGTCTCTCCAAGAGCTATTTATAAAGTTTTTAAGATATTACAAAGTGGGACAAACTGCACTATATACTTTCCACCCTC